AGGATATATATATATATATATATATATATATATATATATATATATATATATATATATATATATATATATATATAATAACAATATATTTTCTGAAAAAAGGTTATTACTTTTCATGGATATTTAGAAATAGTACTAGTACTAATCTAAAGTAAAAATAACTTGTATAATAATATTAAAAGAATAATTACGAGGCAATAAAAATATCAGCAATGTTAACAATAATACTTATATTGATAAATATAATCCATATAATAATAATAATAATAACAATAATAATAGTAATAATAACTTTGATGAATATTAAGACTGAATATTAAACAATTACAATAAGTAAAAGTATATATAATATAAAATATATATATTTATATAACATAAAATAACACTAAAAGTAATAATAATAATAATAACCCACATGAGCCCAACATTTCACAGACAGTATCTCTCCAAAAATAGGTATAAAGAACCCTTTTAGCAATAAAGTTTAGTTATTTAAAAAAAGGAGGTAAATTATTCCATGATTTTACGCATTGGTTTGTGATTTATTGCCATAATTATCTAAAAAATAATTGAGAATATATAATTTAAGGTTACTAAACGACAAAAGATAATAATAAGAACTTTTTATAGTGGTAAAGAAATAACAGATTGATAGAGGTAGGATAATTTGTGGCTGATTCAAGACAAATAGAAAATTTAATAGATGAACAAGAGCATGCAATTTGATAATTTTAGATAGAATGTAAAGGATTAATCTTTAGAACAATATTCTTGATACTATTTTATTTTAAATGTTTTGATTAAATTTTTTTTAAAAAACTATTGGTTTATAAATAGTTTATTGGGTATACATATTACAGGGTTTCTTACCTCATTTCGACATTGTATCACTACATTTCGACACTTTTGCATTCAATTTCGACATTGTATCACTACATTTCGACACTTTTGCATTCAATTTCGACACTGTTGCATCACATTTCGACAATTTAAAAACACTATTTTGAATTAAAGTATTTATATTTAAGATGAAAATTTTTGTTAAATAATAATGGCTTGAATTTAATCGGGACAATAAAATAATTAATGCTATTTTTTTAATTCTGCATTATTTAAAGTGGATACTGACATCATGAATGTGGTTTAAATAATATTTTTTTGGATATACGTAAAATATATAGGTAAAATAAACAATGTGGATATTAATTATTTCAAGTTACCATAATAGTTGTTTTTAATTGCTATATTCATTTTTTTTTATTGACCGGATAAATTATGTCTAATTGCCAAAAAAAAAAATCTACGTTTTGGAAAACATCCCAACAATACATAATTAAATTGTCATCAAACTATAAATTAATGTTATAATTTTTTATGAAGTAAATAAAAGCATTTGTCTCTTCAATACAACAAGAGTTCATAATAAAAGCTTAAATATCTTTTTTTTTTTTTTTTTTTTTTTCAGTATTGTATTTGCCGATTGAAAATAATTTACACTCGTAATTTATAAAAACAAATATTTACATGACTGGGGCTTGAAGAAGACAAAATTCATCTTATCATTAAGCCCCCCCCAAAAAAATGCATATTCATCAAATAAAATATTTAACAAAATGTAAAAAATAAAATATATAACGTTTAAAATATTTAGTAATTCAAAGAGTATTTATATTTAAGAACTGATTAGTAAAATAAGATGATATATAAGTATTAATATTACAAAAAGAATTTACAATAACTTTTTTTAATAAAAATTGAAAATATAAAATTTTACAATATTTTTAGTAATTAGTATTTCAAATAATAAAACTTAAAAAATCGTTTGTAAATTCAGAACTTATAAGATAAGAAATACATTTTTACAAATGTATAGATACAAATATCATTTTTAATATTTATAAACAGCAATGCCGAATCAAACAATCCACAATGAAAACCGTTTAAGGATAATTGAATCTTACTTAAATGGAAACTCACCATCAGAAATTGCAAATATTCTTGGATTTAAACGAACTACAATCTATTCGATTATTAAAAAATATAAAAATGATTTGCCGATAGAACGGCAATAAAAAGGTGGTTCTAGAAACAAAAAATTAACAGAAGAAATCAAGGTACTAATCAAAAATTGGATAGACGATGATTGTGGAATAACTCTTAAGGAAATTAAACAAAGACTTTTTGAACAAAAATCCATTTCAGTCAGTCAATCTACTATAGCAAGATGCATTGATAGTTTTAATTATACTTTGAAACGTGTTCACAATATTCCAGAGAGAAGAAATTCGGAAGACGTTATTAATGAAAGAGCTTCTTATGCAGAAAAATTCATGAACATTTTGTCTTCTATGAATGACAATGAAAATTTCTTTATTGATGATGTAGGATTTAGTCTTTCAATGCGAATTAGAAGAGGACGATCTTTAGCTGGAAAGAGGGCCACACAAACAGTGACCAATAAATGGTAAAGAAATATTTCCGTCTGTTTTGCACTGAACAAAAATGGAATTTTGAAATATGAAGCACAAACAAGAGTATTTAATACAGAAAGCTTTTTATATTTTATTCGTTTAGTATTAGCATAATTAGCTGTTAATGAAGTTGTTGGGGCTATCTTAATTTTAGACAATGTTCGTTTTCATAAAGCTGCTGTTGTTCATAATGAAACAGTACGTGCTGGGCATTCTTTGATATTTTTTCCTCCATATTCTCACTTTCTAAACCCTATTAAAAATATACTTTCTGAATGGAAACAGTTTATCAGAAGATGTTCGTCTAGAACTGAGGAGGAACTGCTTGAAAATATACAAAACGGTGCATTGAATATTACTTTGCTACGTTTACTAGCACAAACTTTAGTAATTATTTTGCGCACGTACTGAGATTTATGGCTCCGGGTTCAAGAAGAGAACCAATTATTGAAGAATATTCTTACTTTTGTAATTTTTATTTTTATTAGCGAGTATTTGCAATTACAACATTTTACAGGGTTTTCCCCTTTCAATTTCGACTGCGCTAATAATACTTAAATTAATATACAAATAAAGCAGTTAGACTCTTTCTAAATTCATTTAGATAATATAGTTTTTTAGTTTGGATAAAAACTAAAATCTAAACAAAAAAATTATCGTATATAAAGTATTGTAATTACAAATACTCGCTAATAAAAATTAAAATTACAAAAGTAAGTTTCTTCTTGAACACGGAATCATATACCTCAGTACGTGTGCAAAATAATTATTACAATTTGTGCTAGTAATATTCAATAAAAAACAACTACTATGGTAACTTGAAATAATTAATATCCACATTGTTTATTTTACCTATATATTTTACGTATATCCAAAAAAATAATATTTAAACCACAGGTTTGGATACTATCCAAAAAGGTTTGGATACTACAAACAAGGAGGCGAATTTGTTCATTACGAGTTTAAAGAAAAAGGTCTTCTTAAATTACACCATTAAAAACTAACCTTATAAACAGAAAGCTTAAACCAACCGTGAGAAAAAGAATATATTGCAACTATAAATTTTTAAAAAAGAAAGTCAAAATAATGTAAAAGTATATTTGTAAGAGATTAAAATATAATACAAAAAATAAAAAATAAAACAGAGAAGCAAAATATGCAAAATATATGAAAACTAAAAAATGAGCAGCTGTGGCGCAGTGGTAGCACACTTGTCTCAGAAACGTAAGATCCGTGGTTCAAACCCCATCTCTGTGCAAGTTTTGTGACATCGGTAGGGAAGGAGGCGTGAAATTCCTATTTAAATGCTCATCCGCGGTGCTCTGTGATAAGACCGTAAGTACTTCTTGGGGCACCACAAATAATTACTAAATACATTTTTTTCTTTGTTGGTTGCATTTCATACTTGTTGTACTATAATTAATATTTAATAATAATTATTATTATCAACATTATATATATTCTATAGCCCCACTTACTCCAGCACTGTATATTATATCAGTATATATTATCATGCTACCAGATAATTTTTTTTTTCCTCTTACCCACCCCCTTTTTTATAAAACAATTAGATTTATCTTGGCCTTATTTCCAAATATTTTAAAGAATCGTTTATTATATAGTTCATTTTCTTAATTTGATGAGTAGTTCCCTAAGTCGTAGTCGTCTTATTGCTTGTTATTTAATGATTTTTAAATGAATCATGTGCCTTTAATTTTAGGGTTGTCAATCTTACACCAGTTATTTACAACCCTGGGGAAAGAACTTTGATGTAATCTTATTTAAATAATAACTTTGTTACTTTGAACATTTTAAATTTTCTATTTTGTAGCACTTAAAATAGTTAAGGGATCGTCCATAAAGTACAAACACTCTTTTTAAGGAGCACTTCACTAAATCCGCCACTAATACAACTTCTTCTTATGGGTGTCCATAATATATATAAGCAGCAAAACCACTGGTTTCGCACTCCCGTTCCCTATTGCACGTTAATTTTATGACATCCAACATTTCTTTTGGTTCTTTGAAAGTTTAACTTCTCAATACTTAGTATCCGCCCTTAACGTATGCATTGTTAAGGCCTTAATAATGTGTACGTCAAGGGTCACGGTCGTTTCGCAATGGACATTTATAGTGCGCAGGCGCATTACTTATAAATTAATATGCGCAGCTAAAGCTGTTATTTCACTTGCCTTGAAAACGGAGCAATTGGAGGTATTTTAAATCTAAGGTATACACGATACGAATAAAATAAAACTCATTAATAAACATTATTTTTATCAACTAAAAGTTTAGTAAGTAGAAAAAAAAAAAAATCACAACAAAAAAAACCACACATGAACCTTAAATTCACTTGTCAAGTTAACCGAGATTTTATCGCAGATTATACTATCTGTCTTATTCTTTAATAAAACTTACGAAGATCAATTTTTATAAAAAACTGTTATATATCATTTGAAAGAATAAAGGTTGAGCTATATTATTTAGCATATTATTTTTACCAGCCATTTTTTTTACAAAAATATTTGAAGCTTGAAAGTTGGCTAATATTTCGCTAATTTTCTACTAATCGTAAAATAATAGGGCCGACCTATTTCGAAATCTTTAAGAACCTTATATAAACATAATAAATATATAAATAAATTAAACAATAAATTTGATAATTACATAATTATTGCATAATAATAATTTGCATAAATACTTTATTATATATAAACTATAAATTTTATTATATAATTTTTTTTCTTCGAGGGACAATTAGCGGTTTTAACGAACTCGCAATTAAATTATTTCTTATAAAATGATCTCTCATGATACATTCTAGTTTTCTCGTACCAGACATGGTTGAGTATATTCTTCCAATATTATTAAACTCGGCATGAATACTCTCGCCACCTTGCTCCCCATATAGCCCAAGGCCAACTCCCCATGTGCTCAAAAAAACTCCAATATGATTTTCCAACAAGTGCATTTTTGGAGTTATTGACTCATTAGGCCAAGTGCTTCTAAAAAACTTCATTAGTTCGCATACAGCTGTTTCTACAAAACAAATTAACAAGTATTAAAAAAAAAATAATAATAATACTATATATTTTATATATATGGCAAAAAATCTTCATCACTATTTATTAAAGATTATAATACTCCTTAAAAAAAGGCTACTTCTACGTTGTACTCCACATGACTGCAAAACAGATTCAATTTCCTTTAATATTGGCCCCATTCCTTCTATTAGCTTAAATTTTGAGCATTCCGCAATTTTTCCTTCCTTCAAAATTAAATATAAATATAGATGTATACAAAATCCAGATAATAAAGTCATTGAAATATTAAAAAAAAAAATGCCCTTACAAAAAACTATCCTCTCAAAATAATTTCCAGTACTATTTAATGTTGATACCTTTTCTATTCTCTTCGATTTTAACAATGCAATTCTCTCAGAGTACATTAACTGCAAGTATTCTGTATTTTTAGGGCTGCGAAATACTTCAACGACTATTGTATCTTGAATAAGAAGAATTTTTGTATTTATATCATCAACGTCATATTCTAATTGATGTATCTCTGCCTGCTTCTCAACATATTTGTCAAATTCACTTGATTCAAGGTGTTTTTCATTTATTGCTAGAAATCCAGCTAGTTTGATATCAACGAGATGACATTCTACCTCTAACATTTTGAAGAATTTTAGAAATATTCCCAATGAGATGTGTAGAGCTGGTATTGCTATCTATAAAATGATTTTAACATTTGCATAATAGCTATATATATAAGTATATATATATACATATATATATATATATATACATATATATATATATGTATATATATATATATGTATATATATATATGTATATATATATATATATATATATATATATATATATATATATATATATATATATATATGTATATATATATATATACATATATATATACATATATATATATATATATATATATATATATATATATATATATATATATATATATATATATATATATATATATATATATATGTATATATATATATACATATATATATACATATATATATATATATATATATATATATATATATATATATATATATATATATATATATATATATATATATATATATATATATATATATATATATGTATATATATATATATATATATATACTTATATATAGTGCCTATATATAAGTATATATTATTACATAGAAAACCCCCTATATATATATATATATATATATATATATATATATATATATATATATATATATATATATATATATATATATATATATGTATATATATATATATATACATATATATATACATATATATATACATATATATATATATATATATATATATATATATATATATATATATATATATATATATGTATATATATATATATATATATATATATATATATATATATATATATATATATATATATATATATATATATATATATATATATATATGTATATATATATATATATACATATATATATACATATATATATATATATATATATATATATATATATATATATATATATATATATATATATATATATATATATATATATATATATATATATATATATATATATATACTTATATATAGTGCCTATATATAAGTATATACTATTACATAGAGAACCCCCTCCCTAAAAAAACACAGCCTCAATCTTAATCTTAACAACAATAAAATCTTCAAAACATTCAATTATTTAATGTATTTCTAAAAAAATAATAAATCAAATTTAATACTACTTAAATTAAGCTACTTAAATTTTGGAAAGGGGCCTCTACAATTTGCTGCCCCTGGTTTGGGGTAGCCTAACCACAGACCTGCATTTATATTTATATTACTGGCATTAATGCTTTGGCAACAATTAACACACACCTATTCAATTGGTATATCAAATAATGGCTCATCAATTACATTATTGAAATTCTTTGCACGTTTGATATTCCCTCCATCATTTTTGAATCGTTCATAATCTGATTTTAAAGTTGCAAGCGTTCTCAAAAGAATCGGTCGCGTTCTAGCTTCCATGTTCAATTGCATTTCACTTGATGTGATTTCAAAGAATAAGCAGCAATGACGACCTGTTAAATTAAATATTCATAATATTACTTTTTATGCTCTTTGTGTACATTTTTAGTAATTAAAATAAGAATATAAGCTAAAAGAAATACAAAACTATAAGCTAACCAGTTGCTCCTGTGATGCCATAAATAGCACACAAAAATACATAATCACCAAATATAAATACACGCAAACATTTTTCCCTAAAATGAGAATGTATTAAAATCAAATAAAAATTTATTAAAATATCTATGTTTTTTATTTTACAAACATTTCTTATCCAAATAAACTTTTGAAATATTTTTTTATTCACCTCCATTTCATTGCTTGAAGCTGTCTAATTTCATCTGTGTCTTGAGTGTGAAATTTTGAGGTTTGCTCTATAATCTTTGGCCTCAAATATATTGAAAACAGTCGTATTATTTTTTGAATTGGGTGTAGCAACATTAGCTACCTGATAGCTCATTTTAAATGAACCACCTCCATGGTCACCACCAATCTTTATATGTATTTCACTAGGAGTTATCTTTTCAAATGTTAGTTGGTTATATCTATGATAATAAAGAAAGAAAATATATTTATAACAAAAAAATAAATACAATTTATGCAGAGATATAATATTTGCACAATTTATGATTTACACTTCTTAAGTTTTGTTTAAAACATTCAATTTTCAATTTTCTTGCATATTTAACAAGAATTAATAAACATTACATTAGTCTCTTATATTTTGAACTTACCTTTCTAACTGATCCAGTACCTTGATTAAATGTGATGGCAAATCATTAATATATATTGTAGGTGTATCTTTCAATTCAAAAGTTCCTTTTTTGTTTTTTAATTCAAACAGCAGTTCTTTATCTTCAACAATTAAATCGTTACCTGACCAATATTTTGCAACTTTTCGTTGATTAGAAAGTGAGGGTAATTTGACATTTTTTGTCTGGAAAAATCTGAAATATAAAAGTTTTTTTAATTTGAAAAATTAAATGAAAAAAAAATAAAGACAACAAAATGCTGATAAATATAAATGCAATTTGTAATTTGAAATAACTTGATTATTGTTTTATGCATAATTTATTTTTATTAAAATAATGTTATATACATTATCATTTTTTTCATCTTTTCCCAAGGTAAACCACAGTCTGCTTTAAGTGATACAATATCTTCTGGTCCTATCTCAACTTGGGAGAGATTTGATTTTTTTAGAATATCAATTTTATCGTTTTTATTAAAAGAATTGAGCATAAGTGCTACTTGTTGTATTTTTGCCTTTTTTGTTGGTCCTGCATTATTTATTAGCGATTGGTGGAGTTGCTTTTGACGTCTATAAATGGTTTTCTGACTAATCTCAGTTGATGTTTTAAAGCTCTTTGTAGTCACTGAAAACTGTGTAGCCTAATTAGTGAAAAAAATTACTCTTTATACAAATACATTATTTATAATAAACTTAACTAATAATATTTTTGTTAAAAAAATTTAATTTCTTACCCTTGGACCGCCAGAAGGAAGTTCAAATGAATGTGAATTGTTTTTTGCCATTTTTAGCTTTGCAAAGTGAGCAAATGCATATTCTAGTTCTTTAGGAATATCACTATTTGTATTAATTTTGTAAATATCTGTTACTGTCAATGAAGAGGAAGACGATGCTGAACATTAGGGTAATATGTTTCCACTTTTCCATACTTGTTCATGTTCTTCCTTATTGCTTATACTTTTGCATGAATTTTCGGAACACTTTAGAACTATATTTTCAAGGATATTTTGCATAGTTGTTGCTTTTGAAATGCTACCTAAAGATATATTAGAGCCACATAACTTGCATTTTGCTTCTGTCTCTAATTTTCCAACTAAATTTGGAAAAATACATGAAGCACAAAATAAATGTTGGCAGTTATTAAGTAAAACAGGTCGATGAAATATTCTTTTACAAATCTTGCAGATGCATAAATCTTTGTGGGGGTTATTAACTATACTGATAGACTCATAGCATAAGCGAGGCATTTCAGAAAAACTGTCTAATATTTCATTAATTGATTTCCTTTTCCAAACATCTTTATTAACTGATGGTGGTCTTCCAAATGGTTTCTTTTACTTTCTGCCAGATTTCTTTAAAAAACATATACAGCTTTCAAGTGAGCACGTATGCGGCCAGCTAGTTAAAATGAAATTAAAAGAGGTCGTTTCTCGCTGTTTAATATGTCTCATTATTGTATAACATTTCATGCAAATTTTTGGTGGGTGGATCTCCGTTCTGTCTTCTCCTACCTCGGTAAAAAATGCTTGGTCAACTCTTGCTATTATATTTATTACATTAAATGAGTCAGTTCCAATATAATTTCCACATAGTCTGCATAGTTTGATAAGACACAAAATGTGGTTAGCAGAAGTAGCAGTCGCCATACTAGGTAGTTCGGTGAATTTTTTTATTTTAAAATTTCTAAAACTTAAAAAAATGGCTGGTAAATAAATTTAGTTATTTCTGAAAATATTTAAATTTTAGTTTAATAAACAATTTAGTTCTTGAAACAAAAAATTGATTTAAAAAAGTTACACAAGTTTGAAGATCATTTTTTTTTTTTTTTTTAATATAGATTTTTAAAGCCAGTCAAAGATTGCCAAAAACCGATTGAAGCAGGATTTCTTTTATTTAAATATAATCTTTGGTCCTTTAAATGTTTATAAAATCTTTGAATGATATAAAACAACATTAATAAGTATAAAATATAATAGTTTTAAAATGTGATCCTATTCTCGTCGCCTGCAAAAAATATGGAAATTCTAGATTTTACTAAAGTTCCTGTAAAAGCATGCGCACTATAAATGTCCGCCGGGGATCAATATTGAACGATCGTGGGGTACAAAAGGCTATTTTTTGTGTGATATAATTTCGAATTAATTAATAAGAAATATAATTGAATTTTAGTTCAATTTAATTTCTTATTAACTAATAAACTTTTAGCAAAAACTCAGATATATTTTGTTTACAAATGTCACGTCACATAAGAAATAGGAGGCTGGGGTAGGAGGAGGGGGGGGTTATAAAAATATCACAAAACGTCTTATGGAGAGGGAGATATCAAAAAAGAGCGAAAAAGTGTCACGTTACATGAACAGCCTTATAATTTCAAAAATCAATACCCCGGGTTTAATTTTAAAACATTAAAATCAAACAGGATCAAGAGTTTTTGTTAATTCAACATTTTTCTGTATTTAAGGGCATGGAAAAAGACATGCAGATAAGTTAAACTCATCATTTGTAAAACATTAATAGTTTAATTAAAAAGCTAAAAATATTTAATTGTATAATTTTGATGTATTATAACATACACTAATAAAATCTCTAAATTTAAAGTAAACATGTTTGAATCTGTATATTGGCTCAAAGGCAAAGTTAGCCAGGATTGTGGAGCTTTGTATCCCATGGGAGGAAAATGAGTTTATAACTATAATTATATTTTTAATAAAAACAACAAAATCATAGATTTTGTTGTTTTATTTATTTACCTCTCAGTATTACAAGAGGTAAATAAATAAAATTATTACCTCTCAGTATTAATTTTATTTATTTACCTCTCAGTATTACATAATTTAAAAACCTTTATCATACTGATTGAAGTTTTGATATAGTTATCAATTAAATTTCTGAAATTCATCAATATAATCAATCTGTAGATTATTAGCATATATCAATTATACATACAGTTTACTTTATGCAATCATAGTTTTTAAATCTTAAAGTTTTTAAACTTTAAAAATATGTAAAATCTAGTTTCAGCTTCTGCCACGTAAGAAAACGATACTTTTGATGATCGAATCTTCTTGAAGTGTTTTAAAAAATCGTCTAGGAAAAAAAATTTAAACAAAATAATTAACTTGAATCAAGAAAATTTAGGAATAAACTTCCTTCACTGTTTCCATTAAATGGCAAATTATATTAAGAAAATTAATACTAAAAAAGGGCACTTTTTAGACAATGAAAACTAAAAAAAGTTTAATTAAAAAATTTTAATAAAAGAATAAGAGAAAATAATTCTAACATAGTCAGCTATTAAATTAACCCCCACTTTGTCATTAAAGTTAAAATAGATAAGATTAAGTATTTAAATAAAATTAAGAATCTTGAACAATATATGTTATAAAAATACAAACTAACATAAATATATAATCATTTATAATACTAATAAATATAAATAAGCATAGTCTAACTGTACATTACCAGTTACTAATGCAATTTGGCATCTAAATTAGTAAAACAAAAAAGTCCTTCAATTTTCTATAGTCTTTATAAACAAAAACCAGAGTACAAGTATTTATTGCGTACAAATAGTACCCTGTTAGAGCCTTCATGCAAAAATAAGCTTGAACAATTCAAAATGACTTATCGTGCACCTCATATCTGGAATAAGTTTTTACTAACTAATTTAAATAATATTGATTTAATAAAACTTAATTTGCTTTAACAAACTATTAAAAAGAGTATTTTAAAGTATAAAATTTATTTAGTGATTTTTTTAAATTAATTTATAAGTATTTTCTTTTTTATTTAATATAAATATATTTTCAACATTACGATTTTACAAAACAATTTTTGTAAAAATATATTTGTATACTTGTTATCTGACATTTTAATACCATTATAATTTAATGATTTTATATAAAAATTTTATGAATATGTTTTTATATTTACGGCAATGTAAAGCGGTTCTTGATGATAAGACCATTTGGTCTTCTGCAAGTTTTCCGCGTTCTTTTTACAGTGTTAGAGTGAATTTATTATTTTTGTAAAACCACTTTGTAATATTTTGTTTTTATTTATATATTCACTGTTAACGAATCTTTATTATGTGGTTACGAATTTGTAATATTAAGGAACAAAAAATAAACTTGAAATAAAAAATAAAAATAATTATAAAACCAAACCATAATTAAGTATTTTTCACAATTAGTGAAAAATACTTAAATATGGTTGGGTAAAAATGGTTTAAGAATATAATTGTCGTCATAATAGTTGTTCCAATATTTCCAATATTATAGGGTTGAAATATTGAAACAACTGATATGACAACAATTATAGTCTTCTAAAAAAGAGTACATATAAAAAAAAAATGTATTTTAGATTTAGTATATGTAAAAAAACCATGTAACATTTTAACTTGATTAATTCTTAGTTTAATATGAATTAATAAATTAACTCAAATTTCATTTAAGTATTTTAATGTGTTTTTTAAAAATGTTTATCTCGTTTGCTCTTTTTAATTCCTAAAAAATAATAAAACTTTACATAGCTTATGCTAATGTAAAATGCTTATATAACAGCACGTTACTCTCTCAATCTCTCTCTCTCTCTCTCTCTCTCTCTCTCTCTCTCTCTCTTTATATATATATATATATATATATATATATATATATATATATATATATATATATATATATATATATATATATATATATATATATATATATATATATATGTATTTCCTAAATGTATATACATATTTTATTAAATGTATATATATATTTATATGTATCTATATATATATATATATATATATATATATATATATATATATATATATATATATATATATATATATATATATATATATATATGTATTTACTAAATGTATATACATATTTTATTAAATGTATATATATATTTATATGTATTTATATATATATATATATATATGTATATATATATATATATATATATATATATATATATATATATATATATATATATATATATATATATATATATATATATGTATATATATATATATATATATATATACATATATATATATTTATTTGTATATATACATATATATGATATTTCTTATAGCAATGCAAATTCTTTTTAGCAACTGCAAGTTAAAGTTATTATAAGACTTGTTTTAATTTTATTATATTTTTATATCCCTAATTTTATAACATAATTGACCAAAACACAATTCAAGAAAAAGTATAGCTCTTTACAAGTTAAACGAATTAAAATACATTTTTACAGAAAAATTAAATTTAAGCAACAACCAAAAGATGGTCAAAGGATAAAGATAGTAATAACAATAATAAAGAAATTTTGTTTTTAGTTTGTACAGTTAAAAATTCATAAAATTTTTTTTTAAATAATTTAAAAATAAACAAATCACTCAATGTTGCAAATAAAAGTTTTAGCCAAAATACAAATTAAAACTTTAAATATAATTGGCTAGCGTATTCATTTATTTACTTATGCAAAAAATTCATTTATTGATTTAGATCATGTAATATGGTTGCAACATTAATTTTTACAAAAATAAACTAAAAATAACAGTTGCTATATACAAAAGGTTATGTAGCTAAGAACCGTTGTCATTTTAAATTCTCTGAAATTTCTATCAACTTCTGGCACATGCGCACCTAAACTTAACGCTCGTAAACGACCGTGTAGCACTGATCTCTATAATATAATAATCTCCGTGTAGCACTGATCTCTATAATAACGCTATTATAGAGATCAGGACCGTGTAGAAGAAGGTGTAAATAAAAAATAAAAAAATAAAAAAACGAGAAATTTTTGAATATATAAAAAATGAGATTAAAAAAGTTTTACAAGACGAAATAAGCTTTATTTGGCTTATAAATTCACTATTATAAGCAGACTTGGTCACTGTGTTTTGGCTTCGTAGCTCATTTCTTATAACAGTAATTAAATATAACACTCTCTTTTGAAACCCTATGAATTAAAATAGTTACACAAGTTTTGTGTAACTAAACTTTCCCCCAAGCTTTAGTTCGTCCAAAAGGGAAGCCGAATGAGAGTTTCTTGGTTTATGACAGATGATACGGGAACACTGCTTTTGTATTATGTCAAGTCTCTTTAGTTGCGCTTTGAATTGACCTAGGTATAATATACTGGCATATTCTAATTGACTCTGTATAAGTCCTTTATAGGCTATATTTAAAAGTTCCCTCGGAAGCCTGACAGATGCTTTTGCTAATAATCCCATATTAGAGTGGCATTTTTTAACGGTTGTATCGATTTGTTCTCTGAATTGGAGATGTTGATCTATAGTGACTCCTAATAGCTTAACATGAGTTACTGGTTGAACCTCAGTATTTTCAATTTTAATGTGTAGGTTATCAGGAAGTCTTTTTCTCGGTGATTTGAACACTATCAGTTGCGTTTTACTGAGGTTAATAGTGAAACCATAATCAACACAGAATTTATTTGTATCTCCATACGCTTTGATTAACTTTTCAGTGACAATTTGTAGTAAGCTGTCTGCAGCTGATATGGTAATGTCGTCTGCAAATAAATAAGACTCAGTTGTTAATGATTGTGGAAGATCTCTTAAGTAGATTTTGAATAGCTCTGAGCTAAGGCCTTGAGGCCGATAACAAGAGGCATACCTTGAGGTACGCCTCTTGTTATCGACTTCCATTGGGTAATCTTATTTCCGCTTTTCACCCTCTGAACCCTTCCTTCAAGGTAATTTTAGAATAGTTTACCAGCTTTTTGGCCTAGTCCT